CCCCCGCCGCCTTTGAACCCCACAGGGGATGCTGACCCTCAACAGATGCCGGAAGGGAAGGGCGAGAAACCAGGACCAAGCGCTTCCCTCGGGAAAGGGACATTCCTTAAGGAGAGAAGGGGAGAGGGAGTGGGAGGAGGAGGAGGAAGGTGCGGGTGTTGGGCTGCGCAGAGCCCCTGGGCCCGACGGTGGCCATTGCGGTCTGCAGGCTTTCTAACTTCAACCCCAAACGGAGTTGGGCTTATTAAAGAAGTGCCACTGTCCTCCCTCTGCGGAAGTGGAGCAGCCTTCCTCCATTGCACCATCCTCTTCATCATTTCTGTGTTAAGGGAGTTTCCCAAACAGAGATTTCTGTGACCAGATCTGGGCCCTCCTAGCTAGGGGTTCCCGAATGACGAATATATCATTGGGAATGGGATGTGAGGTCCGAATTCACCATAATTGACCACAGACCATGTTTCTCTTAAAAGAAAAATGCATTAAATCCATCGAAATGAAGAATTCAAGCATTCTGCAAAATTATGATTTATTTAACTATGATTGGTTAAACAGTCATAATTAATTATAAAAGGGAACCAGTTCGTGGGCATTTTAATTATAGGACAGTTAGCTTCACACAGCCTCAAACCTTCCCTTCCTTTTTGACAGGGATTTGGATCCTTGGAGTGTCTATGGTAGTCAGCAATGTAGTCAGGGCCTCTTTTAGCGCCTAGTTTTGGGGTTTTTAGGTTTTTCAGTCATGGTGTAGTTAAATACATTGGTGTCCCAAAGGTGCTTTTTCAAGAGGCAACTGGACTTTCTGGCTTTTTCTTTGAAGACGTTTTGCTTCTCATCCAAGAAGCTTCTTCAGCTTCAGAGAACTTCAGAGAGTTGAAGAAGCCTCTTGGATGAGAAGCAAAATGTCTTCAAAGAAAAACTAGAAAGTCCAGTTGCCTCTTGAAAAAGCACCTTTGGGACAACCATGACCTGGATGACAGATAATCTCCAAAGACATTTAAATACATTGGCTGCGTTCATAAAGAGCAGATGCTATTTCTCTCCCCTGCTTAATTTCAATCATGAAAAATTAAGATTGCATCTGTGGGACTAGCATTGCATGTCCACTTAGAAGCAAGTAAGCCTCAGAACTGCTTTGCAATTAACTCGTTCAACTTCACAGTTCGGTGATTTTCTAGAAAAGTCCCACCCATCCAGGTACTAATCTGCTGGCTTTACTTAGCTGCCAAGATCAGGCAAGGCTATCCAGGGGCTGCCATCTCCTATGACAAGACTCCATCTGAAAAAAATCTGTATTATAGTTGCCCATCGACGCTCATATCCTTATTAAAGAATACCTGCCTTAGGTCAACAAGATTTATAAAGTTACAAATTTTGGAATATCTAAGGAATCTTCAGCAGTTTCAGGTAGAATAAAAAAGATACTCTAGGCATGATAAGTGGATTGTTTATTTATTTATTTAAATTTGTATGTCACCTGGGATACAAATTAAATAAATATTTTTTTAAGTATAGAAATAATGTTAAATTACATTACAGCCTCTCCTCAGACTTGGGAAGAAGTAAGAAAAAGTAGCTGACAGCCCATTTTTACAGTTTTAAAAAAACACTTTACACTCAAAAAGGAGGGTTTTTATAAGACCCCTTATAAGATTGTTTTCTCTTATTTAGTTTCAGTACAAACCCTGCATTTTTTCATCTAAAAACTGTCCAGTTTATCTACCCTCTATTTTTTTTCCCTACAGGAGATCTGGGTATCCCAGAAAACATGACTTTTGATTTTTAACAACTGGATGCCTCTCAGATAGAGGAATTGGGACTATGTATATATGCACAAAGAAGGTGTTGCTCGTAACATACTCTTCATTTGAAATGTGATGCTGATGTGATCTGAGATGGAAATCTCTGTGAAATCTTAATTTCTGTTTTATATTGGTTAGGAGCAAGTTTGGTGTAGTGGCTAAATTCTAGTCCCACCTCAGGCACAAAGCCATCTATGTGACCTTGGGACAATCGTTCTCTTCCCACCCTAGGAAGCAGGCAATGGCAAATCTCTTCCAAAATATCTTGTCAAGAAAATGTGATCAGGAAAAAGATACTGGATTGGTTATGAGACAGTTCAGTGAAAACCTGGACTTTATACTTGTGCTGGAGCTACTGTGTTTATATTGTATAGATCTGACCACCATATTCCAAGAAGAATATTGTAGAAGTAGGAATCAGTCAGAAAAGGAACAAATTGATTAAGAGGGCAAGGCACTTCTAGTGAGGAACAGTTACAAAGAAAAAAGGCTGGTGGGAAGGAAGGAGTTTAGGACTATGGTATTACTGTAATATAGTGTATTACTGTATTTATTTACGTATTTACGAGAGGTGAAGGTTGTGATGAAAAAGACAAGAATTTTTCTCTGCTTCTCACAGCAATTAAGAAAAGAACATAAACAGTGATTTGCAATGTATGGAATATGCTAGACATCAGGTATTTGGGCAACTTTACCAGAAAGTAAGACAGACTCATGGAAAATCAGGCTATTGCTAATGGTTGTGATAATCATATATTAGTTTCAGGGTTTGCAGCAACAAGCCTCTCTATTCAGTTGCCAATGAACATGAGAATTGTGGTTTTTTCTTTCTTTGTGGGCTTCCCATATAGTCAGTGGCTGGCCATTGCAAAGAAAAGATTGATGGATCTTTACATGGCCTTGTATTTTTACGAATAAAATATGGAAGTTAGCAGGTTGAGTAGCACTGCAATTTCATTGGATTCCTCTAGTGACGAGCTGGTGTATATTAATGCTTGTAGGGCCAATACGTGTCTATAGAATTTAGGGAGGACCTGAAGAATGTGTGAGAGAAAGGATTGGGTAAAACGATTCATAATCCAGTTAAACAAAGACTAGGATCTAAAGCCATGTAATCTCAATTCTTCTGTATAATGGGTTTTTACGGTGTCCTGAGGACAGCCTGATTCAGATGCAAAATTAACGCTGGGAGAGCCTCTGGGCTCCGACCTTTTAAGAGAAAAGCTTGCCTTTCAGCAGCTCCTTCCCATCCAGAGCGAAGGTGTTAGGCTGAGATGCAAGGCTTCTTTACCTGGCATCAATAAATCTCATTACCGATTGGACTTAATAGGAATTTAAAACGTTTCTCTGAAGAGTCACGCGGGGCAACCTCAACTTTTTGGTCCGACCAAAAGTGCTAAAGTGCTCCACGTTGGCAGGGTCCTGCCCATTGACTGAGCAGCGCCTTCAAGGATCTCCGTAGAACCGTTTGGGGATTCTGGAAGATTTTCAGGGGACAAATGCTTGTCCGCCGTCATAGTTTTAAGCCCCTTTTCTCCAACTACTTTGGCTCAAAATTCTTGGCGAGAGCTATTAAGGGGTGGGGTCTCCTCCCCTTCCTCCGCTTGCCAACGGGAGTCCAGGATACGCCTGTTACCTCCAGATTTTAGTCTAATTGTTCCGTCATGGATCATCATAAGAACCGTTAAAAAAAATAAACATTCTTCACGCCTCACTTCAAACGGTTGAGAAAAGATATTGAAGCAAATTGCTGGGACTTCCCGAGCCAGCTGGAAAGAAGCCGGTAGAGTGCTGTAACAAAAAAGAGACCGGCACTAGGCGAGCCGAGGACCACAATTTGTTCAAAAGAGAGCGAACACTCTGCCCAGTAACTGTCTCTGCTCTCCCCCCCCCCCCCCCCCCCCCCAAGGCCGCCCACCACGGAAGGAATTTATTTGGCCTCGGCAGCAAGTTGCAGAAAGCCAATTTTCCAGGCTCAACGCATCGGAAGAAACGGACCACCGTGCCTGGATTCCGATTAAGCGCGCCGAAATCTCTCTGCGAGCGGCGAAATCTGAAGGGCTGGCAAAAGCGCTTCGCGGCTCAGCGCATTTGGTTTAAAATCAGAAGTTCCATCTTAAGGCGACGTTCTCAAGTTTGTGCTGCTCTGCAATTGAGTTAAATCGTTTCAAAAAGCTCGCGAGGACACCCTTCCTAATGACTAATTGCCTAATTCCTAATTGCCTTTAGGGGAAACCTCTTTAAAACAATATATTTTCTCTCCCCGCCCCCCATCAATACGATTCGTTTTTAAGATAAGTCCTTGAGAACGACTGACTGCGAGGAACAACTTTTCATAGTTCGGGATCCTTTTAAAGGCGTTAAAGTTGGATTCCTGATGGTGGAAACGTTGCAGTTTTCCACGCTTCTTCTCTCTCGATATTTAAAGAGTTAGTCTCCTTAGGGTTTTATTTAACTCTTTCCTTTTTCTTTCCTTTTTTTTCTTTTCTTCTCCTCGTTTGGCCAGAGCATCGAGAGGAAAGGGTACCGCCGGTTTTCTTAGGCAACTCCTATTCATTGCCGACAGAATGGGACCGCGGGGTGGGCCGGGTGTCGTTTGAGCACGGAGGTTACGTCTCTCTGTCTGCAAGAGATATGGATGGGTCTCCAGGGCAAAGGGGGCTCACCCGGGCCGGAGATAAGTGGCTCGGTAAGTGCGGGATAGTGTCGCATTGTGGCCCGTGAGTGTTTACATTGGGCGGGGGTGGGTAGGCCGGCGGGCGGGGAGAGGGGCGGGCTTGAAGTTCCAAAGTGGCTAAAAAACCTATTCAAATTCTCCAGCCAAAGTGGAGAGCCAGGCTCCGTCCTGCTCCCCAAATGTTATTGTTTTGTCGGGTCCGAGGCGGTGTTTGGACTCCTCTTTCCCCCACCAGCTGTTGCGGGTGCTGTCATTGCCGCATTTTATTCGAGAAGCCACAAAACTCTCCTTCTGTCTCCGGGCCCCGATCTTGCTCTCTATTGGCTGGGAGGCGAGGAAAGGCGTGTGTCCGAACCCGTTTCATTGAGCGGAATTCGGCGGCGTGACGTCATCTGCCGACTCTAACCCCCCCCTTCCATTCCCCATCCTCGCAGCAGTTCGCTCATTGGTGCAGCCGCCCGTCCAGGACAATATTCATTGTTCTTTAGCGGCTCGGCTGAGCAACGTGGCTATAAAAACGCGCGCCGGAGCCGGAAAGGTGCTTCTTATTAACGGTATTTGGGGGCAACCCGCAGCTCAGCTGGAACGGATCCGGCTGGCCAGGGAGACCCGCTCCGAACTGTAAGTCTTCCGTCCCATTCACTTGCCGGCTGCTTTACTTTCGCGCTGCGCACTAAACACTCATCCCCAGGCTGCGCAGATTAGCCGGTCCCAGTATCAGGCGGGAGCGGTGGGTGATTTTTCCCCCCTGGCCAGACCTCCTTTTAGCGCTCGGAAGACCTAGCCCTCCGGAGAATCTGTGCCCCAAGAAATATTATGGGCACTGTAGTTCCGGCACCACTTAATTTTATTCAGGGGACTGAGAAGTCAAAGTAGATGTAAAGTAGCGAGGAAATATTTGTCTTGTTCTACTGAACTATTTGGAGAAGAAATCTTGCTTGGTGGTATGGAGAAGGTTTCCTTTGCAGCCGCCTGGCATAGAGTTATTTCGGACTAGAAACGAGTAGAGAGGGCGGCAGCCTAGTTGGCTGAGGAGTGCTGGCCAGTGATAAAATTAATTTAGAACAGAGATTAATCCTAAATCGCCCTGAGGTTTATTTGGGTAGGTTTTTTAAAAAAATACTTTGATGCAATCTGTGAAAGTAGGTGAGCCTAAATCAATGAGAAACAATAGACAGCAAATTTAAATGGGACCTAAATGCAGTTCAAGTAGAAAAATCCAGCACACTTTTGGCCAATCATGTAAAAAAAAAGTTGTCAAAAGTTTGTTTTCAGGCTGCCCCTTTCACATCTAATTTCGGGTAGGGGTGGCGCTCTGGTGTTTGGCGGGAGAAAGGCAAAGCAAGGCCGGGTTTTTTAAGTTTCTGCTGGCGCTAAGGGAGAAAACAAGAAGGTGGACTGAGATTTCAAATAGGTAGGAATCGTGTGATCCTTAAAGCAGTTGAACCGTTTCTTGGAACCATCCATTAAACTGCAGAATCACGACGAGGACCCGGTTTCTCAATTTTAATTTTTTAACTTATGTTTTTCCATAATGCTGGAAATGGGGAGGGAAGAAGCAGGTTATTTTCGTGGATATTTATGGTTAATGATTTAGAGACACAGATCTGAGAGCAGAGAACAAGAACAGGTCGTTCTTTCAGGCTGACAAATAAATAATGGTGATTTTTTAAATACAAAAATGCTTTAGCCAACATACTGGCCACAAGCCAACTAAATTAAATATGAACTCTAAAGCCCCCTGAAGTCCCCGGGCTTTAACTTTCCGTCATTCAGACGTGCCGCACATTTTCCGTACCGGCGCCTGGCTTTATCCGCGTTTGCCGGCAAGCGAGCGCGAATCTGGGCTGACCTCTTCGGGCTCCGGTTCGGGGCTTCACCGACGGCGATCCTTTGGAAGCTTTGCCGCCAGTCGGCTGGGCTGCTCCGTTGCCTGACGCCGCTTGTCTCTCTCTTTCCTCCGCAGGCGGCCGGGGCGGCGGGCCAGCATGGACTCGGACGCCAGCCTGGTGTCGAGCCGCCCTTCGTCTCCGGAGCCCGATGAGCTCTTCGTGTCGGCCAGGAGCAAGAGCGGCGGGGGCTTCTCGGCGGGCGGCGCCGTATCCAGTTCGACGCCCAGCGATTCCCCCGCGGAGCTCAGCGCGGAGCTGCGCAGCGCCATGAGCGCCGCCGGGGTGGTGGTGGTGGACAAGCTGGCCTTCAAGTCGCCCTCGTCGTCCTCGTCCTCCTCCTCCTCGTCGTCCTCTTCCTCGGCCTCCAAGAAGGACAAGAAGCAAATGACGGAGCCGGAGCTGCAGCAGCTGCGCCTGAAGATCAACAGCCGGGAGCGCAAGCGGATGCACGACCTCAACATCGCCATGGACGGGCTGCGGGAGGTCATGCCCTACGCGCACGGCCCTTCGGTGCGCAAGCTCTCCAAGATCGCCACCCTCCTGCTGGCGCGCAACTACATCCTGATGCTCACCAACTCGCTGGAGGAGATGAAGCGCCTGCTCAGCGAGATCTACGGCGGCCACCACGCCGCCGGCTTTCACCCCGCCGCCGCCGCCGCCGCCGCCGCCGCTTGCTCGGGGAGCCTGGTGGGCCACGCCGCGCCTCTGCCCGCTCACCCGGCTTCCCACGCCGTGCACCACCCCATCTTGCCCCCTGCCGCCGTCTCCAGCGCTTCCCTGCCCGGCTCCGCGGGGCTTTCGGCCGTCAGCTCCATCCGACCCTCGCACGGCTTGCTCAAGTCTCCGCCGAGCGCTGCGGCTGCAGCCGCCGCCGCCGCCGCTGCCGCCGCCGCCGCCGCCGCCGCGGCTCCGCTGAGCGGCGGCTTCCAGCACTGGGGCGGGATGCCGTGTCCCTGCAGCATGTGCCAGGTGCCGGCCCCGTCGCACCACCACGTCTCCGGGCTGAACGCGCCCAACCTGCCCAGATTGACCGGCGACGCCAAATAAAAGGCGGCGCGGCGGGAAGGAGGGAGGGGAGGGCAGGCAACCGGGAGCGGGGATGACCCCTTGGGGAGAGGCAATCGCCCGCCAGCCCAAGGTAGGTTTCCTCCAGGACTTTCCGAGAGAGCGAATCCAAAGCCCCGGACGCTAAAGGCCCTCGGAGAAGGAGTCCGTCCATCGCGGAACTGAGCTGCCGCCTTCGCTCCGCTGCCAGCCCCGGTTCGGGTGGAAACGCAGCAGGCGCGGCTGTTGGAAGTGAGAGTCGGGTTTCTCTTCTTTCTCTTTGTAAAGACAGGAAGGACGCAGACCTGGGTTAGACACTCGCCTTCAAAGATAAGGACCCAAATGCCCATCCTTTCTTCCCACCTTGAAGTTTATTGCTTTGTTTTTTTTTTCCTTTTCAAAAGTAGAGGGGGCGGATTTGCAGGCCGTCTTAACTACTTGATCTACAATTTCGTGGAAGCTGGGAAACCTTTGGGACCGGAGTTCGCGGAGGGAATCGCCTAGGACTAGGTTTCTCTCTGGATGTCCCTGAGTGAGGGGTATTTGTAACAATTGTAAACGTAGCACTGGTTGGAGATTCTTATGTGGAAATATACCCCACTGATTTCAGAGTAGTTGGCTCTCAGCCTAAACACAATCTAGATTTGTAGGGCTTTCGGGAACAAAATGATCCTGTGACCCTACTTAGAAGAAAGCGACTGGTCTTGGGCGCGATCCAATCGAAGTTGAGCAGTTTTAAGCGCTGCTGATCTTCAATCCCGACGTTAGAACGTTTATTCCAAAGTGAGTTAGACGCTGGGTAGATGGTCGCAGGCGTTGCCTAGAAGCTCTGGATGGATGGAGCCCAAGGCCTTTAGGGTCGCAGTGTTGTATTGGGAGCAGCAAAGACGAGGAAACCAAAATGAAACAAAGTCTTCTGGTGTTGCCCCCCGAGGGTGGCATTCCTCGCTGCATTCTCCGGGCAGGAGCAAAGGGGGTCCTTTAGAGCAGGGGTCTCCAACCTTGGCAACTTTAAGCCTGGAGGACTTCAACTCCCAGAAAAGCTGGCTGGGGAATTCTGGGAGTTGAAGTCCTCCAGGCTTAAAGTTGCCAAGGTTAGAGACCTCTGCTTTAGTGTTTCCTGGGTGTGTGGGCCTAGGGATCTTCCCCCCTCCCTTTTAGAATCCACAACACTTCCTTTTCTTGCTCGAGCATAAAGGCTAAAAGAAAAAAGGGGGGAGGGAGACATTAAGATTGGCTTGTGCTGCCATATTTAGAACCCAATCCCCCCCCCCGCCCTTCAGGGCTTGTTTCTGAATAAGGTCTCCCTCTCCCCTTCTTAGCTCTGTCACCTTCGAGAGATTTTTTAATCACCTGTTTATTTTTATATATATCTATAAAATAAAGAAATGGAAAAGGTCCTAAATAATATTTATTATTTGGTTGCAAAAAAAACAAAAAGTGACCCACTGTTCACATTTTTAAAATAATGAGAATAATTAAAAGAAAGAGAGATAGAAGAAGGATGTCTGTTGTGTTGTCCCTTCATTTCCGTTGAAGTGCTCTTGTCTTCAGAAATATGGGCTCAGGCTCTCGTGGTATAGCACAGCCCACTAACTCCTTAAGGTCAGCAGTTGGGTGCACTTGACTGATGCTCCTTCAACAATTGGGAGTCTTAATGTACCCTTTCCCTCCAAAAGGTCACTACAATAGAAAAACTCATGCCAAATAAAGACAGTCAACTCCAGCTGCAAGAGGCCACACAGACCTAAATTCAAAAAGACACAGAATCCAAAGTTGGGGCCATATTAGTATTCAGAAGGTCTGTTGAGATTGCTCACTAGTGTATTATGGCCACTGGTTCTAAGGCTTGAATGGGCAACACTTTTATTTCACCCCGATCCTAGGCACCTCATGGGCTGCCTCTTCCGTGGATGCTCAGCAAGCCTTCTCTGGCCGCACCCACCCACCCCAACGATACTTGGGTTGCCTGTGTTACAGTTGAGTTAATATCAGGGGTGAAATCCAGCAGGTTCTAACAGGTTCTGGAGAACCGGTAGCGGAAAGTTTAAGTAGTTCGGAGAACCGGCAAATACCACCTCTGGCTGGCCCCAGAGTGGGGTGGGAATGGAGATTTTGCAATATCCTTCCCGCAGGAGGAGAGGGAATGGGGATTTTGCAGTATCTTTCTCCTAGAGTGGGGTGGGGATGGAGATTTTGCAATATCCTTCCCCTGCTATGCCCACCAAGCCATGCCCACAGAACCAGTAGGGAAAATTTTTGAATTTCACTCCTGGTTAATATTCAATCAGTCGAATTGCCATCCAAATTGTTCTAGGGGAGAGATTGAGAAATGATCACACACACACGCACACACACACCCCGGGAGCAAATTGAAGTTCTAATTTCATGTCACCTGTTTTCTAACCAAAGGAGCTCTTTCATTGAGCGAGGGTGTTTATTTCTCTGGGAATATGATCAAAATGTAATGTGGACACATTTTCTACTTACACATCTTCGGGAAAGGAGTTTCCAGTGAGGAGTGTGCTTGAATCCCTCCAGAATTCGGCAGGACTTTTGCCCAACCCAACAACGGGATGCAGCGGATGGAAAGTTGCCACACTTTCCAAAGGTTGGGCAGAGGTCAACCAGTGAGGGGGCGGGGCGGGGCAGGGGGTTTTCTGCCCTCACCATAATCTTGCTCAGCCTAGATCTCCGCCAGGCTGAAAAGCACCTTTTGACGTCATTCCTTTCCTCAGGATGCTCCGACTAGGCGGGAGGCAAAGGATTTTATTTTATATCATTGTATTTTTTTTATTAAGAGCTTTGAAAAAAAGTTAAAAGCTAACAGGAACAAAAAAAAAAGAACAGAAATAGAAAGAATGAAAAAGAAAGTAGCTTCTGATCTTTAGTTTTGCGGTAAATATAAGTACAACTACAAAATTACCCTTTTCTCGATGGTTACAATAAGAAAATCTCCCTTTCCCCCTATTATCTGTTTTTTATAATAGCCAAAGCCATAAATCATACAATCATTTTCTTCTGCTTCATGAAAAAGTCTATAAGGAATTTCCAATTCAGCAATAAACATATATGTTGTCTTTTTTCTAATCACAGCAGCCTGTTTGGCTATCTCTGCAACTTCCACCATCTTCCCCCAACTATTCCATTACCAGCAGATAGTGCTAAGTATTTCCACTTTTGAGTATATAATAATAATCTCACTGTGATTATCATACATAAAAACAAAGTTTTATGACTTTTATTCCAACTCTCTGTCCATCAACCCCAAAATAAAAGTCTCTGGTTTCAATTGGATATTAGCTTTTTAAGATCTTCTGTATTAGTGACTATATCTGCCTCCAAAACTTTCTGGCTTTTTACATGCCCACCAAACATAAAATGCACCTATTGTCCATATTTCCAATATAATTTAAAAGTACCTTTATGCATGCTAGACAACTTCTGTAGTGATATATACCACAGGAACATCATTTGACAAAAAGGGAAAGGTTTTTAAATTCACTTCTTCGAATGATTTTGCCTTGTTTTTCTTCTGCCTGGACTAGTCTCTGCAGGTTTTTTGCCAAAATTTCAGAATGATTTGCCGCTGCCTGCTTCCTGGGGCTGAGAGAGAGGGGCTGGCCCAAGGTCATCTTTTGTACCTAAGGCAGAACTAGAACCTACAGTCTAGACTCTCTAGACCAAACTGGCTATCTCCTGGAATGCCCCCTCTCAAAGTAAGCCTTTGTAGGTTTATAGCTAGAATCGCATCTGGACAAGTTTTAGGTAAATCTATTCCAGTCCACCCAAGACCACCCAAAGTTTGGAGACTCCCCGCTCAGTCACAAAATTCACTAGAGGCCTGTCACTCTCTTCCTCTTTCAACCTCCGAGGATTGTTGTGAGATAAAAGGAAGAAAGATCCCGTCTGTCTTGCATTCCTGGGAGATAAAAAATCTAAGAAAAAAAAAATGCAGCTGAAAGAGGCTAAGGCGCACAAGAAGGAATGAAATCGTTAGGCCTGGGAAGAAAGTGGTAGAGAGAATGTGCAATCCAGCCCATGAGCTACAGATCTGGTTCAACAATTAATTTAAATTTAAATAAATTAATATAAATTAAAATACAAACTAACTTCCAAAGAGGTTTGTATTTGATCAACCACCTGTTCATCATTATTCACTGCTTCTGCCATTAAGCTAGTTTCTTCAAATTTTTGTTTTTGTTTTGAGAGAGAAAATAAGGGAATCATCTCTCTGGTATGGAAAGAAGAGAGATGCTCTCCTTCACTTTCAAGTGACAAGGGAAGTTTGTATGAAGGAGGCAGAGAAGAGGAAAGAAAGGAGATTTTATCGAAGTGTCTCTTATTATTTGAAATAAAATGATTAGCTGATTTCTGGAATCTCTGACCATGTAAGTCGAAGTCAGGTAGGCAGGCAGGCTCGAACATCTGTTATTTCAGAAATCAAATCCCGCAGATCAAGTATCCGAGTGCTCAATTGTCGGAGCTCTAATCCCGAGGGGTGAACTAATAGGGCCCGGTGCCTCCAACCTGCTAAACGGAAGGACTCGTTAGATCTACGTCCGTAGACCGCTGCCAAGTTCCCACCAGCTTGGATCGGAGAGGGAAGCGGCGCTCTCTTCTTTCAACTCGCCCTGGAGACCAACTCCAAATTCCCTGCTTATATAGGCAATCCGGGATAGAAAAAGCACATCCCTTCCTTGAGAGAAACATTTCTGTACCGGAAGTAGTAGATAGACCAGGGTTCCTGGGTGGTGTAAATTTTAACTTTCAGTGCATTCCTATCTGAAGCTAATAGGAATCGTTTTGCACGCAGTTTATCCCGTTTTCCAAAGGAATTCTCTATTCTCGGGATTATTCCATCTTGCAGGATATTAATTAAAGACATCCTACACTCTTACAGGAGCCCCCTTTTTTCAGTAAAGTAGGGATCCTCGCCTCTGCAGGACGATCACCCTGCGACTAAAGCGCAGCCCTGGGCATATTTAACCCCTCACCTCAATATATTCCTCTGGGGCGTCGGGGCGGCTCACTTTATGGATTCCAGCGAAAAGCGCCCCCCCTGGAGTTTGTTCTAGGCTTTTTTTTCCATACCGGCCTGCCTGAGGAGCACCTGTCACTTGGAACAGGAGCATCCCCAAATAAGCGTATGCTCTTTACGCACTTGGAGTAGGATTTTGTGTGTGTGTGTGTGTGTGTGTGTGTAGGCACGTCAACATAATTGCCTATGTGTTAAAGGAGTGGGGGAGGGTCACTGAAAAAGGCAGCCGGCCGAAACCCACCAGAAGACTAGGCAGAAGTTGGGAGAGTCCTGGTCTTACAGAGAATGGGAGATGGAAGATGGAGAGGCTGCCTGCTTAAGTCTCGACTAGCCCATGATAGGAACGGGAGAGAAACAAGTAGATTCCCTCCCGGGTGAGATTTCAGCCCCGCTTTTTTTTTTTTTTAAACCACCTTTTGTTCTAAAAGGCATCCGTGTGGGACATCCTGTTGTTGCTCTCGGAAAAATAAGGAACAGACGCTTCTGATCAAAGCTTTTCAAAAGTACGATTTCCCCTTAGTCCGAAATAACCACGAAATAACAGAATTGCATTGTAAGCCGAGACTCTGGCTTGTGATTTCTTTCTCACGTCGAGTTAACCTAAACCTTGGTTTACCAACCGCTTCCTACGAAGTGCGATTTGGCATAGTTTAGAGTGAATCCAGACCTATTTGCGCTTCGACTGAATGTGGTCGGGATCAGGGCGAAGCTGCCTCGGATCACCGGTTACAAGTTTTGGTATGGAAGGAGTCCTGGAGCTCTCGGAGGAAAAGCAGCCTCAGGTTCAGGGATGTCCGAAGGGAGAGGTCAAAAGTCAAGCTCCTTGTGCTGCAAATCGAAACTTCTGCTTCTTATGAGCGTCGCGGTCGCCATCTTGATTGTTTTGACCCCTTCCTGCTGAGCTAGATCAAGGGTGGGGAACCGTGGCTCTTTTATGACTTGTGGACTTCAACTCCCAGAATTCCTGAGCCATCATGGGAGTTGAAATCCACAAGTCATAAAAGAGCCACGGGTTCCCCACCCTTGATCTACAGCCTTGAGGGTTTTGGGTTGTTGTTGTTTTTCTAAACCTCTGTTAGCGCGACGACTATAGCAGCGAGAAGCTCAACAGGAAAGTTTTCTGCCTTGGCCGGACAACTAATGCAAGGGATCGTCCAGGGTCGGGATATCTTGCAAGGCCGTTGCATTGGCCCCCCAGGCTTCTTCACTTCTGCAAACTTCGCCTCTCCATTTTGGGGAAATGAGGGGGCGAGTCAGAGGCCATTTTAGCCTCAGTTTAGGAAGACAGTTACTGAGTTTAAAAATATCCTGAATCTCACAATACAATGACCTTTAAACTAATCAGACGACCAGACTTCACACAATAAGGTAACCTGCCGAAGCGCAAAATACAGAAAATCATCCCTGAACAGGAATCGCACACAACTAACGTGGCAGTTAGATCTAGCCGCTAAATTAA